GCTCATTTTCCAACTCCCCTAGAGTTAAACAGTTGAGTTTTACCGTTTTCGAATCCATTCAGCCGATCTCCGGGTCTGGCTGTAGCACTTTTAGCTTAGTAAATAATAAATAATAAAATAATAAATTTTGGCGGAAGTTAGCCTATTTTCAGGCGCTGCGTAATAATATCATTGCGCCTGCTGCATGCATGGTACAGCAGCAAAGTTCCTTGATTATTACGCCGGAATGAGAGTATAGTTCCTAGCCATATATATTTTTTGTCTATACAATACAAGTTAATGGGAACCGGAACTGTTTGGTTACAAACATTTAAAATATCTACCATGAACATATTTTTAGGAATGTTGGTAACTAAACAGTTTCGGCTCCCATTGACTTTCACTGTGTTTTTTGTCTATACAATGCAAGTCAATGGGAACCAGAACTGTTGGTTACCAACATATAATATATCTACTAAAGACTTTCTCTCTTCTGTTGAACTTGAAAGAACATATTCTAAAGAATGTTGGTAACCAAGCAGTCTTGGTTACCATTGACTTCCATCATATGGACAAAAAATACAATGGAAGTCAACAGGCACCAGAACTCTTTAGTTACCAGAATTCTCCAAAATATCTTCTTTCATGTTCCACAGAAAGTCATACAGCTTTGGAACAACATGTGGGGGTGAATAAATGATGACAGAGTTTTCATTTTTAGGTGAACTATCCCTTTAAGGTTTCTGGAATCAACTACCGACTTGAGGTTTTGAGGTTGGTACTCAGCGTTTTAAAAGCAACAACGTCTGTAGCAGCAGATGTAGACATAAACGCACAGCATAACAATGAGACTGTCACATGAAGCAGAGAGGAACAGGACAGCTGATTGGCTCCTCGCAACAGAATCAAGCCAACACATTCAGGGCATCCGTGAGAATCTTCAGTTCATCTTTAATGGTCTCCAGCCCCTGCTGGATCTTCAGTGGGTTATCCAGCACTTCTATGCTGTCTGTGTAAGGGTCAAACCGCACAGAAAATGGTCTCTTGATGTGGGTCACATATGCTCTGTTTTAAAAGCAAATGAGTAAAGTTATTGTCATACAAACAACTGTAACTATTTCACTTCAAACATTTAAGACAATAAATAAAAATGTATAAAATGCATAAATCCTTTTTTAATCTTTGCGAAATACGTTTAGAAAGTTTTAATAAAATAATACGTAAAATAAGTTTATGTAGTTATGTAAGAAGAAGAAGAAGACGAAGAAGCCACATTGCAAGACAATTAAAAATTAATCTAAAATATACAATTTTCCCTATATATCCATAAATATTTTAACCAAAAGTCTTGTTCATTTAAAAAAAGTTAATGGACATGTTATGCATCAAAAAAAAAAAATACAAAATTCAATAACAGTTGTAGTTATTTGATTGCAAACAATAAAAAATAAAATGCAAATGTATTTAATAAATATAATTTAGCACCTTTTATTTTATATTTTATTCTGAGAATTTAATTTTGTGCTGTATATGTTTTAATCATCATACATATATTACATAAAATCTTTTACAGTACCTTTTATTTTAGATATATTTTTATTTTAGCACCTTTTATAAATAAATAAATAAAGTTTTAATTATTCAATTTCTAATAATTATTATAATTTGTTTTATGGAGTATTGTAATCATTTCCAAATTTATTTTGACTCAAATGAACACATGTATACAAACACATTGTTTTTTTGTTGTTGTTTTTTTTTTCATTTATTCATTCATAATTGTAATCATAATTGTACACTGCTACGTTTAAAAATAATTTGTTAAAAAATAATGTTTTATCACCATACATTATATAAAAATCACTTACAGTACTTTTATTTTAGTTTGTTTTTATTTTATTTTAGCACCTTTTATATATAAATTAATAAATAACAGTTGTAATGATTCGATTGCAAGTAATTATTATTATTAGTGAGCATTTGTTTTATGAAGTATGTTAATCCTAGCCAATGTTTCAAAAACTATTTTTAACATGTATTTTTCACTGATAGCTATTTATATGATGGCCAAACCCACAGTACTGACAGCAACAGATTATTTGATGCAGCTCACCTCAGTTTCTCTGTAGCATCTGAGAAGCTTTCAGACACAAAATAGACGGGCTGGTAAGTCTGATCCTGGTACGGCTGAACAGCTACAGTGTCCGGGTCAAATTCCCGTCGCTCTGGCTCATCTGAGAGAGAATGCTGAGAAAATGGGTGACAGTAAATGTCAAATGCTTTTACCATAAAAAGCAGCAAAATAATTGATTTAAAAAATGACCGACTGCCACCCACCACCAGCTCGCCATAAGACGAGAGCAGTCCTGCTCCATATGCTTTGACCGTCCCTGCCTGCTTACACAGTCCAAACTCCACTGTGAACCAGTACAGCTGAAAACACACAGCAGGACAAATACATTCAGTGCTGTTACTAGAGCAGCGTTTGAAGAAGATGTGGGATGTTTCGTACTTACTGTTGACAGTTTCTCGATATCTTTATCAGAAGCTCCAAGAGAGGCCAGACCAATACTCTGAGAGAACAGAATTCGCAATACAGATTGAATTTGTAAGGAAATATGAGATACGTAAATACAGTTGACGTTTTTACCTGAGAAAACTGTGCAAATGTTCTGTCAGCTAATATCGGTACATGTCCGAGAAGTTCATGGACACAATCCCTGGAGCGGAAACATTCAATTATTGTGATTATTTGTGACCGCTGTGTGTGTGTTTTCATAAAGTGAACATTACTTTACTAAGCAGATGTCTTTACTAGCCAATGTCTGGACGTAAATCAAATGCATAATAAACAGTCTTCATAAATGTAAACAGTGTGACAGGAAGTGTCTTACGGTTCAGGCGAGTGCATGGGGGAGGAAGCGTGCCGTATGTATTGTGTGCACTGGAACACACGGAACGCCAGGCTGGCCAGAAAATCCCGAGCAGAGAGTAGACCTGCCACCGGACGCAGCTGAAACCCTGTGCGCTCTTCATACAGGACAGACAGAGAGAGAGAGACTCACCACTAGCATTCTGGGTGGTTGCCAGGGTGTTGTTATGCAGTTGCCAGAGTGATTACTATGGCGTTGCTATGCAGGTGTTCTGAGTGGTTACTATGGCAGTGCTATACTGTTCCTACAGTGCTCTAAGTGGTTGCTAGGGTGTTCTGGGTGGTTGCCAGGGTGTTGCTATGTGGTTGCTCAAATGTTCTAATTGATTTCTGTGACACTGCTATGCAGGTGTTCTGAGTGGTTACTATGGCAGTGCTATACCATTCCTACAGTGTTCTAGGAGGTTGCTAGGGTGTTCTAGGTGGTTCTTGTGTGTTCTGGCTGGTTGCCAAGGTGTTGCTATGTGGTTGCTCAGGTGTTCTAGGTGATTTCTGTGACACTGCTATGCAGGTGTTCTGAGTGGTTATTATGACAGTGCTATACCATTCCTACAGTGTTCTAGGTGGTTGCCTGGATGTTCTGGGTGGTTGTCAGGGTGTTGCTATGTGGTTGCTTGGGTGTTCTAGGTGATTTCTGTAACACTGCTATGCAGGTGTTCTGAGTGGTTACTATGGCAGTGCTATGCTGTTCCTATGGTGCTCTGAGTGGTTGTTAGGGTATTCAGGGTGGTTTCCAGAGTGTTAGTATGTGGTTGCTAGGGTGTTCTAGATGATTTGTATGACATTGCTATGCAGGTTTTCTGAGTGGTTACTATCATGTTCCTATTACTAACGAATTTCAGGGTGGGTTGCTTCTGGGTGGTTGCCAAGGTGTTCTGTACGGATTCTAAGGTGTTCTTTGTGTTTGCTAAGGTGTTATAGGTGGTTGTCAAGGTGTTGCTATGTGGTTGCTCAGGTGTTCTAAGTGACTGCTATGATACTGCTATGCAGATGTTCTGAGTGGTTACTATGGCAGTGATATACCATTCCTACAGTGTTCTGAGTGGTTGCCAGGGTGTTGTAGGTGATTGCTACGACACTGCTATACAGGTGTTCTAAATGGTAACTATGGCATTGCTACATTGTTCCTTTGGTGGTTACTAAGATGTTCGGGTGGTTGCTAGGGTGTTGCTATGAGGACGTTCTAAATGGTCACAACAAGGGTGTCCTAGGTGGTTGCTATGGCATTACTTGGTTGCTGTAGCATAGCTCGGGTATTCAGGGAGTTGGTATGTGGCTGCTAGGGTGTTCTCGATGAGTTGTTTGACATTGCTTTGCAGGTTTTCTGACTGGTGGGTTTCAGGGACATTTCAGGGTGGGTTGCTAGGGCGTTGCTATCTGGATGTTCTGGCTGGCTGGTAAGGGCTATTGGTAGCAAGGGTGTTGCTATGTAGTTGCTAGGTGGTTACTAAAGTGTTCTGGGTGGTTGCCAAGGTGTTCTATGAGGTTGCTAGGGTGTTCTATGTCATTGCTAAGGTGTTCTGGGTGGTTACCAGGGTGGTACTGTAGGATAAAGTTGCTGAGTGGTTGCTGTGGCATGGCTGTCAGGTTGCTAAAGTGTTCTAGGTGATTGCTAGCATATTCTGGGTTGTTGCTAGGGTGCTGGTACGTAGTTGATGGGTGGTTGCTGCAGCAATTCTATGAGGTTTCTAAGGGATTCTAGGTGGTTGTCAAGGTGTTGCTAGGTACAGGTTCTGTAGTTGCTGAGATGTTCTGAGGGGTTTTAACATACTGCTACTGTTTTCTGTTTCTTTTCTCTTACTGGCAGTGCTTAAGAATATTTCTAGTAACAAACGTGATTTGTTTTAATAAACAGAATGCTGAATGGCTTACGGGTTGTTCTGTTCTCTGGCTGCGTTATAATCGGATTGGTACCTTTTAAGAAGCGGGACACATCCTCCAGCTGAGGGATGTTATCAGGACTGTAGCCGCAGTGTTTCTCCAGTAAGCGGAAAGCCTCTAGATGTTCACTGCAGGCGTGGGTGGTGTACAGATCCCTGAGGGTGGAGTAGACCTCACGCCTGCGCACACAATAGGTTGCATGTGAGAAGTCTGAATGAAAAACACAGTGTGAGGATCTCTGGCTGCGTTTGATCTGGGGTTGTTTGTTTATTTCAGTTGAACGTACCATGTTTCGATCTCCTCTTCCGTATACTCCACTCTGGGAATCGGTTCTCCGCTGGAAAGAGAGACAGCAAATATCTGTGCCAACATGTCCAGACAAGCAAATACTGCATGGTAAACATGGTTGCAACATACTGTTTGTATCTGAAGGCAATGTCTCCAATCATCTTCCGCCGTTTTCTGTAAACGGGGTCAGTGAATCCCTGCAAAATAAACCACAAACCAGTGCTTGTTATAGAACATTTTGAGGCTGTTTAACTCGTTTCCCACCATTGAACATCGCTATCTCATGGCCAATTCGTGCATATTTTACAAATTGGATAATTAATGAATTCATAAAACCACACTTGTACGATTTCTGTCACGGTTAAGTTTATGGGCGGGGTTATGTTCCTTCGTACGAATTCCTACAAATTTTCTACCTCGTAAAATACAAATGATTTTTCACAAATCGTATGAATTCATACGAGTGAGGCGGTACAAATTCGTACGAATTAACCGCCTTGTCAAATATGTACGAATTGCGTTGTGATTGTGTTGCATTGAAAGAATTTCCCGGCTTTTCACTGTTGTATGGTAGGAGGTGCTATTATGCATCTTCTGAAAGAGTACTGAATCTCTGGAACACAGCGAAGAAGAAGCAGAAACAAGCAATCGCATATATAAGCAGATGGATATGTAAAATAATGCGATCATCAAACAATAAAAAGCATATAAATCAAAACTGCCTAATGTTACCAAATGAAATGTCGACACAGGAAGGTTTAGGACTTGCAGCTTTGAAGGTGGTCATGGACTTGATCTACTCCATCTATGTTTTAATCATCGTTCTGAATCCAATCCAGACGTAGTCTTTTACAAAAATGCGATGTTTCAGCTTTTTGTTCAAAATGTTGCTTTTTTATGAAACTTACCTGGTGTTGATAAAATAAGGATGCATGAAGCTGGAATTAAATGATTTGTTCAGGCTCTGTTCTTTCTTTTGACATATTCATACATTCTCAGATATTCATACAGTACAGCAATATTTTCTGGGAGCCATGAAAGTTTCGTCAAAATGATCAAAATTGCTAGCAATCTTTTTAAAAGCGCTGGCAGGGAAAGAGTTAAATATGAAAGACATTACAAATTTCAGGTAAATGAGTGTGTATTTATTTTAGAAGTAGAGAAGAACCAATCCAACACTTACTGGATGATCCTGATCCAGTTCCGGATCAAATTTGTTGATGAGATGATGGCATTTATCCAGTTCAGCGATTTTTCTTGGAAACCAATGAACTGGAAATTTGACAAAAGTAGAAAAGCTAAGCGTAACTGACATTCAGATAAGCAAAAGATAAAACAAAGCAACGTTCTGCTTTAATAGACTCACATTTGACCTCTTTAGTGGTTTTGACGTCCTCTGCGCTTCTCTTGAGAGAGCTGACCAGTGTGCTCACGTCTGACAGGTGCACCTTACACTGAACGTAATACTCCAGATCCTCCAGACCGTCCTTCGGTTTTCGGCTCGGTCTGGTCTCAAGATGGTGGATCTTGGCTTCAAATGTCTGTGGTGTTCAGTAGTTGAACAACAGAATAAGATTTAAAAGAAAATACAAGAAATACATGCATATATTGTAGTAATGCCATCAGACAGAGAAAACTGTAATGATAGGTTTTTTTATTTATTATTTTTTTTGCAATTGCACTTGTATGTTTCCTAATTTTCTGATTATTGTATGTGAATGCGTATGGATATATATTTGTGTATGTATGGACAGATGTATATGTATATGTGTGCATATGTATATCTTTTATTATTATTTGTTGTAGTCTTATTGAATATGTTTTGAATATCTGTTTTAATATTTGAGTATTTTGCATGTATGTTTTTTCTTGCAATTTTATCTTTCGATGTACTTTCTGCAATAATTCAATCTCAGTATTGCTAAGCAGAAAAGTAAATAAACTTCCAACCTCAAACTAATATATAAAAATCTATTTATACATTTTCAAATAATTGAAATACATATAAATAAATGTAAGAATGCACATATATATTGGTATATTATCATATAAAATATTAATAAATATAAAATTAACAATTAATTAATAAATGTACTTTTTTTTGCATTTTGTTGTTACTTAAGAACATATATATCAAGAAAAAATTGTATTTTTCTTCATCTTTAGATAAGTACATAAATTAATAAATGCATTTTTTAGATTTTTGCATTTTGCTATGTTGCTCAAGAACATATGCAAAGAAAAACTCTATTCTTCTACATATTCGGACTTCAGATTAGACATTATTGTTTAGAATTTAAACATTGTTTATATTAAAAATATACCATTGTTTTTTTTTTCTCTCTTTCACAAAAACTGTTTTCTTGGTATGCAGTACATTATAACTAATATTTTATATTTCGAAACAAAGACTAAGTAGTTGTCAAAACAATAAGTAGGCCTATTAATTTAAAAAGATCATAGTTTTGAAATAGTTCTAAAGGAACAGAATAACAATCCAAGGAGAATAATAAATAGCTGTTTTCAGTTGTTGTTTTTTTTACTTAAGTGATTCACATATGATTCTTATCTGAGCCCAGTAGGATTCTTACTAATATAGAATTTCCAAGATCAGTCTTTTACGATTTTCTTCAGGATATCTTACCTCAAAAACCTTAAGAGTGCGGGACAGCGCTGGACTCTTTGAACTCCTCAGAGAGAAGAAGAGACTGAGCAAGGCTTTTCCATCGCTCTCCTCAAACACGATCTGCTCGCTGAGTCCCGCAGCCTCCGCCGCCGCCGCCGCCGCCGCCTCGCGCTCCTTGCGCGCATCCTCGATCAAACTCTGCCGCCTTCCCACAAACTTCTGAGACTGTCAAAGAGAAGAGCGCGATTCGTTTAAGACCACACATTTCTATCAATTTAAAAGATCCATCTAGACCAGAAATAATAATAATAAGCTATAGCCCTGCTTACCTTCTGGACATCTGATGGAGGTGATTTACATCTCCAAAATCGCATAAGAACTTCAATGCAGTCTATGTAAACCTGCCATATAGCTCAGACTTAATCAGTTGCTTATGAGCCGATGATACAGCCACATATAGACTGCTTTCCATAGCTTTTGACCACCGCGTAATGCTGTGCGTAAATCTGAATGGAGAGTCCATTTACGCACAGCAAAACAGTGATCTGTAGGAATGGACGTGCATCAAAAATGCTACACTATTTTCAATCACATCCGAAAAGTTATTTCACAAAACTGTACTCAAATGTATGAATTTAATTGCATCATATAACATCAAACTAAGTGGCACCTGCAAACAAATGCGGAGCTAACTTCATGAATTCTACAGTTTTTGATTTCATTTTGCATGTATTGATTGATTGATAATGTATAATTCTATTTACGATGTGTATATGATATATACATTTTTAAATGTTCATTTATAACAAGAAGAAATGGCACTTTGGTTCGGTATCTTGTTTTCTAATGAAATAAAATTCATACATTTTAGATGATGCAACATACTTAATTTTGGGATTACTGTATTTGCATACCTGAGTCATAAACAGTACATTTATTTCCATGACGAAACTCCCATGAAGTTTAATGCTTAAAAGCATCTCCATTTTTTTTTAATCATAAAATATTTCGAAATCGACGAGGAGGGGATGTCAAATTATTCTTTCTTTATTTGTATTCTTAATTCTAATGAGTGAAGAATATAGTTGAAGACTCTTACCGTAATGGAATCGGAGCGCTCGAGTTCAGACGCAGCTCTCCGGATGCTTTTTGTGGAAGATGTGGAGCTGCTTGAATTCGGCATATCGGAACAGATGAGGGTATCTTGTGCTCTCTTGGCACTGCAGCTCACTTACTTCCATCTGCAGCTTTCTTTCCCCTTATTTATAGAGATGCTTTCTCCTGACTGACGTCAAACTGACCTCCGTCATTGAACATCTTGAAGCTCCTCACATTCGTTCATAATTTGATTCTGACTTTGCTACGTAACTGTCTGTTTACATTGCCAGCGCGTGTCTCACTAAATCATCTGCCAATTATCAGTGTATGAATGAACAATGTGCACTGTAAAAAGTGCGGTGACCTGCATTTGTTACCTTAAACAGCCATTTTTATCTGATTTGACTCATAAAGATTTGTTTTGTTGGTAGCTATAAATGAACCAACAATGAATCAACAAACAATGAATGAAATGTATTTTGGTTCATTCGGTGATGAAGCCAGCATAAAACCAGTTCGTTTAGCATTTTTTTAGTGCGGTGGTTATATGAATAAAGTTTTACATATGAATAATATGTAAAATTATTTTATCATTTTTTTCATGTATGACTTCTATAAAAATGAATGAATTAAACAATATATATCATTCATAATCAATATATGAAGGTCAGGAAATAGTTTCATAGTGTGTGTGTGTGTGTGTGTGTGTGTTTTAACTGTTTAAATTGTGCTGAAAAGCTTAAAATATAGACTTCAAAGTAAGGTAGGCTATGTGGCTATAGAAAATGACTGAAATAAATATCATTTATTTTTGTTAATAACATAATAGTTAAAGCCATCCCAGTAATATTTAGTTTAATATTCATAAATGTAGGTTGGTTATTTTTACATTATTTTATATTTACTGTCTATAAAACATCTGAAAAATAACTAATCCCATCCTGAGTAATGTTCAGAAATGTATATTCATTCATATATGCATTCATTTATTCATCAAAAATGTGATTTGCCACCAAATTACAGCCCTGCATTTCCCAACTTTTTTTACGCCCCTAGGGCCGGGCTTCGGGCCAATTTTCACATCATAGTTCAGACGCGGGCCGGGCCTCGGGCCTGTTTTAGGCTTATCCTTATTTTTTTTTATTAATTAGTGATGAAAAAAATTAATTGCGGCGCTGATGGAAACAACACGAGACCGTGCTACCGCGACTGTCAAGAGCTCGATGGTGTTTAGTGTCCCGCCAGCAGCAGCATGTATGGTGCGTGCCGTCAGCGCAGCTGAAGAGTTCTGCGTTCAAATGCACGCAACAGGCTAAAGCTTGCCGCAAAAAAAACAAAAACAAAAAAAACACCGAAACGAAATATAATCATTTTGCCATTACATACAAAACTGAACTATTTTAAAGGGGTCATACGATGTTGCTAAAAAGAACAGTATTTTGTGTATTTGGTGTAATGAAATGTGTTTATGCAGTTTAAGGTTCAATTGAAACAGTAGTATAAGCCATTTTGGGAGAAGGAGAAAAAAAGACGGGCTCGGGTCGAGCTCGGGCTGGTAATTCTGATAAGCTGTCGGACACGGGCCGGGTTAGGGCCTATATTTGAGGCCCGTGCAGGGCTCTACACCAAATCAGCATTATTAAAATGGTTATTTTTTTCAATTTACAGTGTACAAAACAGCTGAAAATAAATTGTTTTGTGACATTTACAAATTCATTGATATCTCCATGACAATTCATTTTACAAGAACCACTGTTTCACTTCCCTTTTTTTAAACCTAGCCCATACAGGTCTAGTTACTCATCCATAGGTCTTAGATACGTGGCATTTAACATTTTTAATCTAAAGTGACTTAAATGCACCAGTTGCTATCAGCCTGGAGCAAGCTGTGGTCGAGGGCATGATGATGATGACAAAACAGGACTACTTTAGATTGAACCTCCCAACCTTTGTTTTAACAGCCCAGACCATTAAACATTATCCAGTCACCCTGAGGGTCTAACATTTATGTTACATGACATGAGCCAGATCTGCTTACTTTTAAATGTAATCTGTTACCCTGCTGAATACAAATCAGTTTGCAACTTAGATAGTGGGTTGTATGGCACTAAAATGGTATACAATTCAGAAATATAAATTTCTTATCTAAATAAAAACAGCAGAAGAGCTCTTCTAATGCACCATAAAAACATTCATGTGACGGACAAAATGTCTTCACTTCCAACAAAAGGAAGCAAAAGTCAGCTGTGGAAAATTGAGTCACTTTATCAGCTCAACCGAAAATCCATTGTCATTTTCCTCAGCAAATATAATTGCGATTAAAACCTGCCAGTTGTTTTCTGTCTTCTACCTGAGCATCACGTGTTCCCTCCAGCCGTGAACAGTTTGATGTGTAAATTGATTAAAGTCATGATGTGCAGAGCCCTGCGGTCCGGATGCTAAAAGGATTACCAGCAGTTTTGGCCTCACATGCAGCAACAGCTGGAAAAGCGCTTGGGTGCTGGGGGTTTGTGAGATGAAATGCTAAAGAGTACTTACGTACCCTCGGGCCGTGCGCCGAAAAGACTGTCCTTTACTGGGAGGGGCAGAGGACAGGAAAAGATAACGCATGGTGACATTAAAAGAAAGCACACTGATTTTCTGCACTGTTCACAGTCAGTTTGAGGATTAAATGCAGCTGAACTTGTGTTTCTCTGATGTCTAATGATCTCTCCATAAGAAGACAGTGGATGGTGATTTGGATAACAGGTCTAACAGGCATTTAAGTGTTTGCTGTTTTCATACTGTGGCTTTAGAAAGTGTAAAAAAAAGGTCACCTATGTTCATCAATGAATCATGAAAGTATCGTTTTTATAATGAACAACAACATTTAGTTCTGGTCCTCAAATCAGTTCCACCTGTTTGTGTTAAAGTCATGTCAGAAAGATCGTATGTAGGAGTTGAATGCACATGAACGACACTACACTGTAATAAATGACCTTGAATTTAACGGTAAAAGACTGTAAAAACGCTACAAAAATAACCTGTTAAATGGTTAAAGGGGTCATCGGATGCCCATTTTCCACAAGATCGGGGGGTCATTCCCTTCAGAAACAAACGTAATCCACTGCGTCTTCAGCGGCTCAGATGTCGGGAGTAAACGAAGACTGCTATGTTCATTATTACATCCAACAACAGAACACCTCAATCGCTTAGGAGTCATTCTTGTCTACATCTGCTCCAGCGGTGAAACAGTGGTGGACTGATGACAGCTCACTCAGGGCGGGTCTGAGGTAAGACACCAATCCAGTCTGTACTGGAAAAACTGTATTGGACATTACATGTTATTTTACGGTAGTATACCGTTTTTGGAAGGGGAAAAAGAGCATATAATTTACATTGAATAACCGTAAATTGACATTCCCAGAATACCCTGCGTTACATTTCAAATTTGATGTTTTTTTGTTTTTTTTAAATAACTATGTTTCTTCTTAGTTTTTTTCTTGTAAGTGTTGTACATTAGGGTTGTATGTTACATCTAATGTTAAATAATGTTTATTGCATTATTTCAGTTTGATGTGTGTTACAATGATTATATAGATCAGTGGTTCTCAAAGTGTGGTACTCAGGATCACTAAATTAAATATAAATTAATGTTAAAACACAATACATTTTACAATACACAATACAAGTTTTTTTTTTTTTTTTTTACATTGAAGTACAGTGCAGTTTTTATTTAACTTTTTGGTACAATTTGGTAAAAATTTTTACATTTGTTATTAACTTGTTCGTAAGCACTGTGCAGTCTTAATGTTCAAACTGTTTATTTACAATGTTAAAGTGGCTGACAACAATAAATAGTCTTATTAGGAATAAAACTGCCTCGTTTTTGAACTGTGCAGAGCTGTAGTTGAATATTTAGGCCTACTACGCTACTGTATTTTAATGTTGGTCATTATGGTGGTACTTGGAGTGCCAAATGTTTTCTGAAGTGTTAATATTTAAAAGCTGCTTGTGATGGGCTTTGGTTCATCATGTGACTTTCTCATCACCACCTGCTTTTGGTGGTTATCAGTGTATTACAAAGGTACAAAACAGATTTCAGTACTTCAATAGGTTGGGATATTAACATTATATCAGTTAATGAAATTACGGTATTTAACTGTAAGAGGTATTTAGTTATTGGTAGGGTTAAGGGATCTAGGATATGGTCATGCAGAATAAGGCATTAATATCTGCTTTATAAGTAATAATAAACAGCCAATATGCTAGTGATATGCATGCTAATAAGCAACTATTTAATAGTGAATGGTGTTCCCTAATCTAAAATGTTATCCAACTGACTGAATTCAGAATAAAATATTAGCATAATTCTCTTACTATTTCTGCCATCTATTTTAGAAAAAAGAATGAGTAGTATATAGTAGTAAACTATTTTAAATTCATTCAGAAACTTTCTGAATGAGTCATTGAATCATTTACTCAACCGATTTGTTAAAAGTGCAGTATGTCATATTGACAAATAGCAGTTGAAATGGGTCCTGCGGTCCAAATTCAAAATACTGGATATATGTATATATAAAACTAAATTCAAAATCAAAGTAATGGACAAGGATTCAATCTGAGATTCAAAGCTGTTGTCCAATACCACTGAGTGTCTATATAGGCCTACTCTACAAAAACCTCTCTTGGGAACATGTCCTTGTTTGCTCTGAACGACATATGGATATTAACAGACGGATATAGGCACAATGGTTATCCATGAACCACCTGATGTGCTGACTCACTGTCATTTCCCCACACTGCAAATTGAGCGTCTTTGTTCTAAATGCCGTACCGAACTAGGTGACATCGCTTTGGCATTCAATGTGCACTGTTTATTCATTTTTCCCCTTTTCTGTAAGTTACGGAAGAACCAACACCGGCACAGGGACAACAATTATCACAATTACGTATTGATTGGATGTTAGCCTCCTCCCGAAGGGGCCCGCAGCATAATTGTTAGACTTCAGACAGAGTAATTGCAGCACGCTCACAGCTGGCCGATTATACTTCATCCCCCACAATTCTTTTCTCTTTCCTTCATTCGTTCTTTCTCTCTCTTTTTTTTCTTCATTGAATGTTACCTTTCATCTCAACAG